GAAACCCAGAAAATATGTGAAAATACAGGGAATCCTTTTATTTGTGTGTATTTACTTGTGTGTCCCAGGGCCCTTTCAGAAAGTCCTGCAGGGGGAACGGATGTCCGAAGACTATGTCGCAGCGTATGCAGAAACCGTGCTCCCGCCCCAATCCCGGCCAGAGTTCTGGACCGGACGACCGCTCGGGGGCCCCCAAACGGTGTGGTGACCACACCGTGCGGTGAGTCGGTGGGGATTCGGTGTCACCGCACGGTTTTGGCACTCGAGTCCCTCTCTCCGAGGACGTCTCGGGCGACAGGGGCCTCCGGGGGCCCAAGACCGTGCGGTGGCGGACCGTGCGGTGAGGTCTCCTGGGGGATTTCGAGGTCACCGCACGGTCCGTCACCGCACCGATTCGGGGTTCCCAAGACCGCGATCTCGTTGGTGCAGGCAGCTCTGGTGCGCACGGCCGCGTCTCTGCGCCTCGGTCCCGACGGCCGCGCTCCCGGAGCCACAAAAAAAACACTAAGGTCAAGTCGGGCCTGTCCCCCTACAGGGGGATTTTCGATGATGAATAAAAAATACCCCAAAGATGCCCCGCAAAGGTAAAAAACATATATCTCCAGACTATGCTTGGACTTTTTTGGGGTCATGTTTGGGGTATTTGCAATTTTTCTGCAAAAATCCCCCTGCAGGGGGAGAGGCCCGACAGAACAATGAGGTGCACATGGCCGTGTTTCGACCTCCGTCCCCGCCACCCTTGCCTCCGTGGTTCGCCACGGCCGCCCACCGCGCTCTGGCCCTGCGCGCCTGGCTGCTGCTGTCCCCCCGGCTGCTCATCGTCGAAGCCTTGGGCGTCTGAGCGTCGCTTCTTCCTTTCGGCCGTCCCCGCCCCCTCTTTGCTCGCCGGACGGTTTGCTAGTCAGTGCCCCTATCCAGCTCTTCGTTGGAGCGGAGTTCGCCGCCTCGCCGTTGACGAACGAAACATAGATTTCCCGACCTCGGTCCCGACGGCCACGATGCCACATGAAAAGTCAATGCAGGTGCGCATGGCCGTGTATCGACCTGCTTCCCCTGTCCTGGTGGCCACAATATCTGGTGGAGACTACGCTGAGGTGCATATGGCCGTGCCTCGACCTCTTCCTCGGTCCGGACGACCACAAGGTTTGATAGCAAAAGAACTCCCGATCGTGCTCGTGGTCGTGCGCCGATGTCTTAGTATTCGGTCAGGGTGGCCGTAATCACTCCGATACTTCCTTGGCCATCTCAATCCGTCTGGCAACGAGACGGTCCCCTCCTCATGCAGTTTGTGGCCAAGATGGAGGCCGCGTTTGCGACCCACCATTCGGTGGAGGTTTCCGATTTTCATGGTTGCAGCGTCAGTCCGTCCTTGGAGTGGCAGCGCTCTCGTGCAGTTCCTAGCAGGATTCAATGGCCGATCCCGCTGGATAGCGGTGGGGCGTGGTGCACACGCTGGTCCTGCTACGCGTCGCCCTCAATCGGCACCACAATGATACCAAATAACCAGAGGATTACAGGCAAGATCTGCTTCGACAAGTTCAACAGCTGACAACGCAGACATCAACACTTATGTTGACGATGAGCATTGCAAAATTCGCGGGGTTGGATGGGTTAACGCCTCTTTCGCACAAGCATCCCCTGAGCTGGATGAGAGTTGCTTGTCTCGCCGGACGTTTAGCGCACAAAACGCAAGGCCGAAACGTGACCAACACCGTTTGTTAAATGGGGTCAGAAACAACGGCAAGCTCATCCTAGGCGCTTGCATGTATTGAGTAAGGATCCCAAGCACTTCGGCTCTGAGTTGGTGGTCGGTGGGTCCATCGTTTCGGAAACATCCACACGTGTGCAATTCAAGAGGGAGGCACGTCTGGAACAAACAGTTGGCTGGTCTGATCGACGACCCGCCATCATGTCTTGCCGCGCTGAGGTAGCTGCTTCAAGAAGCCAGCACGGCACGCTTGGAGGAATTCGCCCTCGATGGCTTGGAGCGGTGCGGGCTCCATCACGCCAGTCGACATACAGCGTCTACTTGCGCAAGGTTGGCTAAAATAGATTCATCTTTCAGGCAGGATGAGCACCGCGGTGCATGGCCGCACAAGTTTCTCACTACAGCGTGCGCAACCTAACGGAGGAAAGTGCGTCAGGGGTCCGTCGAGCGACCGCGCCTTCGCCGCTGCAGCGGGACTGGGCTCTACGGGGATGGTGATCGTTGTGAAAACCTGTTTGGGATCGGCGCTCCCTGACGCGGTGTGCTGAACGCTGGGAAGCGGAGATGCGGTTGCCCCAGTGCCCGTCGCGGGCTGAGCCGATTCTCGTCGCTTACGCCTGTGTTCTTTGGGCCTTCCACCCACGTGCCGCCGCACGCGTTTGGCTCAACTTGTCTTTTTCTCCTCAGTGGAGGTCGCCGAAAGATCGACTGGCGGGGCTCATCGTGCGCACTGTAGTTGGAAAAGAGGAGCGCGCGCTGGCCACGCGCGCCGCCATGTCGTCTGTCAGCGTCAAGGGACGTCCCGACCTGAAGAGTATCGCGCCAGGGATCCCCAGGCTTAGGAGAAGATGGATCATTGATGCGTCAGGTTCTCACGATCATCTGACCATGACACGCGTGTTCGATCGCGTCAGAAGCCTTAAACGAAACGAGTGCTGCAACCCATAGGTTCTGGTTCCGTTCGCGCGCGCGTTCTCGGAGGATGTGGGAAGCGAACAAAATGTTCAATGGTCGAATGTCCGGGTATGACGCCTGATGAGCTTCCTGCCGAGAGTCAAGCGTTGGCTGGAATCGGTCGTAGAGAGGTGTGCTGAAGAGCTTGCAAGCTGTGGTGTCGCACATTCGGGGCGGTAGTTTTTAGGAACTGCGGGACCTGCCACGTGTTGGGATCACCTTGACAACGGTGCTGTTCCAGCTGGCTGGCGGCGGGGCGTTAAATTGTATACATGTATGGTAGAGATGGAGAAGTGCACGTTTGAGTTCTTCCGTACTCTCTTTGATCTCTGCTCGGAGGCCGGGCGTGGCCCTCTGATCGCCTTGTCCAACTCCGTCGTTCTGAAAGCTGGGAGGTCGTCGTCGGCCTGTTCCCGCTGTGTCGGCTCTGTCGTCGAATCGTGGAGGTGTTCGCAAGATTCGACGACCACGTCTGCAATTTCCTGCTGGGTCGCGCGTTTAACGTCGTCCGTGTCTGTCACGTGCGCGATGAGAATATGTTTCCCGCGTGGTATGATTCGCGTGGTGCTCTTCCAATCCCTGAAAAGCTCGAGCACATGCCCTAGATGGATGGGCTCGTCGAGTCCTCCGCTTTTGAGCGCTGATTCATTGCTGTATGAGTTTGTGCAGCTGTGTGGGGGCCTGAAGGTCGTCATCGGGAGTTCCGCGTCGTTGTGCTGGTAAAGAGCAGTCGCTCTGCTCCTCTCACAGGTTGTCGGTTTGTTTGTTTGTTTCTTGGCATTGCTGGCACCAGCGGCGTCGATGATTTTTCCTTGGGTGTGTTCGTTCAGAGATCTGTGGTTCGGATTGCAACTCTTTTGGTTGCAGTTGTGGACGTTGGTGTTCATGGTAGTTGTTTACATGGACATTTTGTCCCGTCAGCGGTCGAAGTGGCAAGGGTCGGCGCTGTCGTCGTTCGCCGTCATGCGCACGGCAGTGTTTCGACCTACTCCCCTTGGGTCCGAAAAGCTACGGACCCTATCATTTTAAGCAAATGCACTTACGGTGCACATGGCCGTGTCTTGACCTACTCTTCGACCCACTTCTTAACCTTTGTTGTTCTTGTGGTGCGTTGCTCCTGCAATCTTCCTCTAATCCTTGTCCCTTTCCTCCTGCTTGGGGGCCCCCAGACAGTGTGGTGACCACACCGTGCGGTGAGTCGGTTGGGATTCGGCGTCACCGCACGGTTTTGGGACTCGGGTCGTTCTCCGAGGATGTCTCGAGCGACAGGGGTCTCCAGGGTCCCAAGACCGTGCGGTGACGGACCGTGCGGTGAGGTCTCTTGAGGTTCCGAGGTCACCGCACGGTCCGTCACCGCACCGTTTCGGGATTCCCAATTCCTGCCCTTGCCGTCTCTCCTTCCCCGGTGACAGGCCAGAGAGGCGCGGCCAGAACTCCACGAGCGCAGCGGGGCCTCTCAAACCTGCTCCGCGCCCCCGCCCCAGGAGCCAAACACGACGACAGGGCCACTGCCAGAGGAAGGACATGCGACGCCTCCGCTACCACCAGAGCGGGGCCACCTCCAGCGAGGTGGTCCACGATGCCTCGCCTGGGTGTCTCGAGCGAGGCGGGGAGGTGTGCCACAACGGAGACCTTTCCTGGCGCCTCGCGCTGGTGGTGGTGGTGGTGTCGCCCTTTCTTGTCCCCACGCCAGCGGCAGGCCCGTGTCGAGCAGCACACTGCAGAGTCCGCCGCCCACCGTCGCAGGGGCTGCTGCCTGGGTCAGAGCCGATGGAGCCTGAAGTCAGCGACGGCGACGGCGATTGTCGGCGGTTCAGAGAGAAGCCCTGAGGGATGGGGCCCCAAGAACGAGTGGCCTCCAACAGTGGGGGTTCCGCCTGGGGTCTATCTCCGATACTTTTTGGGAGGAGGAGGGGGAGGAGGAGGAGGAGGAAGAGGAGGAGGAGGAGGAGGAGGTCGTGGACGAGGAGGAGGACGATGAGGAGGACGAGGAGGAGGAGGAGGCCTCATCAGTGAACCGCCGAGGCCGCGGCGGCGGCCACGGTGGCGACGACGACGACCCCCGAGATCGTCGAGCGGCGTCCCGCTGGCTCGGGGCGGGGGGGGCGGCGTTCCCCCCCCGGAGCCTGACGGGGGTCCAGAGAGGGCCCCAGGCGGCTGCCAGCGATCCCTGGCTTCCTCGAGCCTCGAACCTCGGCCCAGGATCCAGCCCCGAGCCCCGATCCCCGATCCTCGCTTCCCCGATTCCTCGCTTCCTCGATCCCCGATCCCCGATCCAGCAGCCGCCAGGGGCCCAGCCCCGGCCCTCGCTCTTCGAGAGCCTCGCGCCCGGCCGCAGCGCCCTCTGGCTCGAGGGGGGAAGGGGCCGCGCCGCCAGCGTGGGGCTCCGACGCGGGCCCCCCTGCCGCGCGGAGGGGCCGGCTGGGCCGCCAGCGCCGTCGCCGGCGCCCGAGCCCGCGCTCTGGCCCCGTGGGCCCTCTCTGGGCACACCTGGAGTATCGAAACGGGTACGGACAGAATGGGTTCGTGTCGTGTCGACCGGCGGCGACCCCGCCAGCGGCGTCCAACGTTGAACGCCGCGGGCGACCCAGAATCGTTCGATGTGGAACGATTTGGACGTCTCGGAAACGGCCGATCGTTCAAGGTTGAACGAGCCCCGCGGTGTCCGAAACCAACGCCGAAGTGGGCACGACACGAGTCTGACGTACAGCGACCGACAGCATTTGTCTGTGCATGTTGAACTGGGCTCGCCGCCGGTGTCACCGCGGACGCCGTCCATTCGAGACCGAAGGCCGCCTGCCCAGCAGCGGCCGCGGTCTGCACACGGTTTCCGTGCCCGTGCCGGGCGGCCAGGGAGCACAGGGCCAGGGGCGCTGGCTCCGTCGCTGGGGCCCCGTCGGCGTCCTCCTGTCGGAGGGTGCCAACTGTACACCCGCGCCGCTCCCGGCAAGGCTCGGGTCGGGCATGTCCTCCTACAGGCAGAGTCTGGGAGACACGTAAAGAAGAGCGAAAGGAGCGCAGGCAATCGTCGCCTGACCGACTATTTCTCCACTGCCCTAACACTCCTCCTATAGGGGGGCATGCTCGACGCAAGGCCACCCAACAATGGATCGGGGCGAAACCCTGGCCCCAGAGATCGAGTTTCGACGAGATGCTTCATTTGGGGGTGCATTAATCCTGTGGTCGATCCCCTGCTCGGAGAGAAGGGGTCGGGTCAGGGGCCGCGGATCGGACAAACCAGATCGGCGGACGTTGGGGAACGCCTCGTGACCAGGGCCGTGAGGACCTCGGGGCCAGGGCCGGTCTGACGAGCGCGTGGCTGGCGCGCACGAGCGAAGGCAGGGTGCTCCTCGGGAGCGGATCGGGGAGGCTCCCGGGAGAAGGCTTCTCCGGAGGCGGGAGGGCCTCCCGGGAGCCCGCCCTCGCCCCCCTCGGCGCGCGGCAGTCTTGCGCTGCGCTGACGTGGCGGCCGCGTTGGCGCGGCGCCGGCGTCCAAGGCTGAGCGCCTCCGGCTGCCCCGAGCCGGCCGAGGTCGAGCGACGTGCGCCAGCGGAGGGCCGCGAGCAGCCACGGTCGGTTGGGCCGCGAGCGGGCAGAGGCCAGCGCCGGCGTCCGCGTGGCGCGAGCCAGCCGTGCCCCGACATCCACCGAGATGAGGCTTCGATGCTCGGCCAAAGAGGTCCCGATCCCATTCCGCAGGACCCTCTTTTCGTCTTGGATCCATGGTTCATGGTCCCGGAGGCCGAAGCCGATGTGAATAAAAGCGTCTCGTCGGAGATCTGGCTGACTACAGCTCTGCGTTTGGTAAGAAGCATGGGTGGGTCCACCCCCGTCGGAGGTCAGCGTCAACCTATCCGCGAGGCGCGTCAGATTCGCTGCATCGGCGCACCGCGCGAATAAAGGGGGGTCATTTGGGGCGCGGCAGCGTGTGCCCGCGGCGGGCATCGACTTGGGGCTGCCGGCGGGGGTGGCGCCCCCCCCAACCCCCCCCCGCTTACCAGTGGTCCAACGATGGGGTCCTGAGGGATGGGGTCCCGAGGACGAGGTGCCCCGCAAACAGCGTGGGCCCACCCTTGGACCCCTTCCTATCCTCAGGACCCGACCCAGTCCCTCAGGAGCCCATCCTTGAGCCACCGAGCTCCTTCCCAAGCGCGGAGCCATCGGGTGTCTGGTCGGCACTCCCCCGCACCCGTCCGCCGCCCAACCTGACAGACTCCATATCTCACCAGGCGCCGCGGTCGCCCAGCACGGCCAGCGGGCCCAGGCAGGCAGGCGCTCGGGCAGGCCGTTGCGGCAGGCCCTCGCACCCGCGGGGAGGCCCTCGGCGGCCCTCGGGCGTTTTTGTGGGGTGCGCTCGTCGGAGGCCCTCGGGGGCCTCGGACGGCGTCCGGAGGTTCCCGCGGGCAGTTCCTCGGGTGCCGTCGCCAGCTCCCGGAGCTTCCCCGGTCTTCTGCTGGAGGTCTCTGGGGGTCCCCGGGGCCACGGCCGGACCCGGCTCCGAACACGGGCCAGGATGGGCGGGCCGAGAGAGTCACCACGGGCGGTGTCGCCCCGTCTCGGGCTCCCCGGGGCGGCGGAGCTTGCCGGATCCACCGAGCACAGCGAGAGGAGGCGGGGCCGGGGGCCACGGACGGGATGTCTCGGGACGCCGTGGTGTCTGTTCACGACGTCGGACCTCGGGGGCGCGAGCACGGGTCAGTGCGAGCGGGCGAGCGGCGGATCCCTGTTCAATGCCAGGCCTGCGTGCTGCGTAGCCAAACCGCGCGGCACCATATCCACGGATCCTCAGTCCATGTTGGCGCGTGCCCGACGAACGGGAGGTTGAGGGGGAGGAGGGGGGGGACCAGTGTAAACCCAAGACGCATCAACGATGTTGCAATACCCGCCCTCGAAGCTTTCTCTGCACATGTTCCTCTGAAAGAGAATTCATTTTCATTGCGGCCAGTGGCCCATTAGAAGATAGCCATTCGAGAATCCCCCCTCGTGCCAATACGTTGTTCCTGGAACTTCAGCGCCGCGGATCAAAGTGACCGTTGCGTCCTGACAATCCTAAATCGTGTCACCATTGGAACTTCGACCATACGAGTCCTTGCAAGTGTTGTAAGCGTTTAAGAAGAATGTGTGCGGCGCTGCGGCGAGAGCCACATTTTGAAAATGAGCCACCCTCCAACCTTACAACCGCTGCAAAACGTGTAAAACGAATGTGCGCCCCGCGCGAAAGCGAGAACCACGTTTTGAACATGAGTTGCCCTCCATCATTAAACCGAATCTGCCCCCCGCTCTACAGTGAGAACCAAATGTTGAAAAGGAGCCGCCCACCATTCTTGACATTGCTGTATTAAGACGAGAATGCGCCGCGCGAAGGCGAGAGCCACATTTTAAAAACCACCCGCCCTCCATCCGTGAACAGTTGCAAGTGTTTCAGACGAGTGTGCGGTGTGCTGAGGCAAGAGCCACAATTTGAACACGACCCACCCGCCATCCGTGAAACTGCTGAAAAACATGTAGAGACAGGTGCGCGCGGTGCTAAGGCCGGCGCCACATTTTGAAACAGGCCCGCACTCCACGTGCTGAAAACTGCTGCAATGTCCACGCTTCAGGATGTAGACGTTGCGAGTGAGTTTGAAGCGAAACGCCCGGCCCGTCCTGCCGGCACGTCTCGGGATGCGCCTGCAAGGAGCTTCGAAAGAAAGGCATGGTGGAGGAGGAGGAGGAGGCGGAGGAGGCGGAGGAGGGGGAGGGGGAGGGGGAGGCGGAGGAGGAGGAGGGGGAGGGGGAGGAGGAGGAGGCGGAGGAGGAGGAGGAGGAGCAGGAGCAGGAGGAGGAGGATGATGATGATGAGGAGGAGGAGGAGGAGGAAGAGGAGGAGGAGGAGGAGGAGAGATGTCTTTATGTATTGCTGGGCCGCCCCTCGGCCCCTCGCGCGCCTCCGAGGTCGCCCGCGGCAGGGGGCCCGAGGTGTGCTGGCAGCGGTTCGGCGGCAGGTATGTCAGGCGATCGCAAACATGGATCAAGGGGGCGTGGATTAGCGACGGGTCCCGTTTCCATTGGAAATCGCGGATTCCCGCCGCCGAGCGAGGCGGCACCGGCCGCATTTTTGGGAGGGCACCTCCCCCCGATCCACGTTTGTGCGCCCCCGACGATCCCAGGGGGCCCGAGGTGTGCTGGCAGCGGTTGGCGGCATGTATGAGTGACTCTTCGCCAGGGGTAAGTCGGGCCTGTCCCTCTACAGGAGGAAGATTCCAAGATAGTTAAAAAAAAAACTGGGGACGATTCTGTTACTGTTTTGGCTTATTTTTGGGTTTGCTTCGTCGAGAATCCGCCTGTAGGGGGACATGCCCGACCTGACGCCAGGGTGACTGGTGCGGGCTCACAAGGGTCCCCCCAGCACCGGCCTGCGAGCTTGGATCTGGGCCCCCCGCAGCTCCCGAGAGCTGCGCGCCAAAGGTCACTCCTGCCCGGGTCACTCTTGCGTGTGGGCGATCGGTGCCGCGGAGATGACTCACATGGTGCTGCAGATTCTTGAAGGAAGAAGCACGCTGACCGTGGCTTGGAGTTTGCTGGTGGTCGGAGGTGGCCCAGCATTGCTTCCGGCGAGCAGGAAAGGAAAGGGGTTGGGGAGGGGGAAGTTCGAGGGTTTGCGTTCGAGCAGGCTTCTTGCCACTTCTGGCTTCCCAGCGCCCTTCCTGGGCCCTGGCACCATCAAAACGTATCCAGGGTGAAAAATTGCACCATATGGATTCCAGGATGGGTCCAGGAACAAAATTTCAGCGGGTTTGCCCGTATCCCCCCTTCTTGACAGATGTTCTCGGGGACCATCCAGTTCAGACACCCAGGCTGCCTTCAAACCATGGCGAAGATCTCGCGGGATCTTGTCGACGCCAATCTTGGTGATGATCCATGCCGGCCGTCGCCGATTTGCGAGGATCATCCACGAATCGACGGTGTCCAAGGGTGGCGAGCAGAAGGCGTCTGAGTTGGGCGGAGAGCCAACATGCGTGTCGGCATGCAGGCGTTTGGCACGTGTTCTCATGTGTTTGCTGCGCGAGAGGAGCCACAGGCGAGGTTTCTAACATGTGGTCGGCGGATTGTCCTCATGAAGAATTAGTTACTTGAGCGGAGGGGATATTCAACATGCGCCTGGCGCGTGCACGTTTGGCAAGTCTTCTCAGTGTTTTGCACATGTGCAGGCGCCTTGGGGGTTATTCAATATGTGGTTGACGCATTCTTCACAAGACGTGTTTGCAAGTGTGCAGGCGCCAAAAGCGGTAATCATCCAGCATGTGGTCACGTGCGCGGAGGGAGTATCCAACATGCGCCTGGCGCATGCGCATTTGAGCGCGCTTGGGATATGCTTTCGCCAAGGGGGCTATCAAGCATGTGGTCGGCGGATTCCTCACATGTGA